ACAAGATTATTGATATTCTTCAGATAAATTTAAAAAAGAAGAATTAAAATAAAATAAAATAAAAAAAGGAAAAGGAAAGGAAGTTCAAAACCAAAACTTTACATTTCCTCTAGCCACTGATCACACAATAAACATAAATAAATAAACAAATGAATAAATTATTAAGCGGGAAACACTACCCAATTATAATCTCTCAACTCATTTATTAATCTTCAGGAATTAGAGTCCATAATGCAAAGTATACAGAATTCACCAAAACAATTGTCAAAACTGAATTTTGAATGAGACCCATTTTTCAACTGAGCCCGAAACAACAATTTCAGAAAGTTAAATTAAAATTATAGATTGTTCAGACATTCCGTTTTTCTTTTTTCTTTTCTCGAGAACCAAACAGGAGAATGTTAAGGGAAGGCTTACTGGCGACGGCGACGGCGATCGGCCGACAAATTGACGGCACCGAACGTTCCGGGACTGCAGAGGTTTGCTTTTGGTCCTATGATGCGTTGTCTCACAGTAAATCAGCACCAAGTCTTGAGAAAGAGAAAGAGAAAGACAGGGAGATTCAAGGCTGTGCCGTGATGGTATTGTAATTTCAACGTATTTTACAAAAACTTATAATTTATTAAATAAAATTAAGATAGAGGTTTAAATTTAACTTTTTATAAAATTCACTTTAATTTATTGATAAATTTTTTATAATAAATAAAGTATCTTTGAAAATGCTCTAAATAAAGGGGATTGTGATAGCCTCTAAAGGTCATGGGTAAGAAAAATATATTTATGTGTGTACTCCAATTTTTATATAAATTTTGCAGAGGTTGTACTGAAATAAAACGAGGATACATATTTTTTAAAATAATTAAAAAGAGGTTGGGTCCGTTGTGATCCTTTTAACTTAAATTTTTTACACAACTTTTAACCATTGATCCATTTCAACGGTTTAAGAGTTAATAATGTGGCAATGTAAATAATCACCTTCAACTTTTATTACATATTAATTAGATTGTAATAAATTAATGGTCATGAATTTATGTTTCAATTTAAGTCATGAATTTAAATTAAAAAATCATATCCCATTAAAAAGAGACATAACTTTTCTAAAAAGCAAAAGTATGACACTTAAAAAACAATTTAATTTAATTTTAAAAATGCAATAATAATAAATCTATTTGATTATATTATGTAAATGTCAAAACAGTTATTAAAATATATAAATAGCCATTAAGAAATAAACATCTGTCAAAGCCATATTGTATAAGTAGATGATATACATATTACAATATTATTTGACTAAATATCAAGAAAAATATTAAAAGGAATTTCATTAAATCCCCAACAAAACTAATTATATAATCAATCATGATTTTTATTTAGAATACAACATATCTACCATTGTTAAAATGTAAACTAAATCAAAGTAAAACCATTTAACCGAAATAGTTATATTTTTATTTTTGGAATTTTATCAATTAAAAAGGATTGAATAATCATTTTCTATATCCTGAATCCATATCATAATAATCAATATAGTAAAAGAAAAAATTAATAAGGATACAATAGACTTTTCAATATCTTGAATCATTTTTTTTTTATTTTCTCCTTAAAAATTAAATGGAAAAAGACATATCAATTTTGGGCTTTCAAAAAACTTATATTATCCCAAAACTCATCAAATTTATACTTACACAAAAACATTTTATTGAACATTCAAATTTCAAAATATAACCAATAAACTCCAAAATGCTTAACCCAAATTGTTTAACCACAAATTCTAATTATAAAATCTAATGGAATGGAATTGAAACATATGAGGGTTTGTTGTAATAACGCCTATATTAAATTTAGTTTTCACTCCGTTAATTATATTATATTATGTTAATATGGTTGCGTTTGGTTTGGGGTAAAGTAAGATTACTCTAGTAATCTTTGTTTAATTTTCAAGATTCCCTTATTTGATTTGTAAATAATAAAATATTATAGTAATCTTTTGTTGCAAATGGTGTTTACTGTTGGTAATATAGAGGGTAATTAGATTACCTTACCAAGGGGTTATTAAAAGATTGTCGTGGTAATATGATTTTATACCTATTTTGCCTTTAATTAAATACAATTTCGAACACAATTACCTTCAAATGTCTATCAAATAACAATTAGCTAGACCCTTTATATTTGAGAATTTAGCTAAAACACCCCGACCACATAAAAGTTAATAAAATTTCCCTAGCCACCCAAGACCACCGTCAGCCGCTAGCGAAAGTCGCCATATTGGCGCACAATCGACGGGATTTGGCCTGCCATGCACCGATCTGGCTATTTTCGACCTTCGATATGGCCGAAAACGGCCAGATCAAAGATCGATGGCCGAAAACGACCTTATTGAATCACAACCGGCCAGATGCAGTTGGTTGTGCGCCATTCTGACGACTGTCAGCAGTGGCTTGGGATGGGTAGGGGTGATTTTGCTACAAATTAAAGTTTTATATGGTTGGGGTGTTTTAGCAAAATTTCAAATGTAGGGGTTTAAAAGAAATGATTAAAAATAATAATAATATATTAATATTTCAAAAGGAGGGCAATTTAGTAATCTATATAACATACCCACCAATTTATCTTATAACCAAACATATCAATATAACATACCCACCAATTTATTCTAACCAACCAAACACATTTCCCTAAACATTTATAGTAATCTTCAAGGTAATCTATCTTTTCATTAATATAAAATTTTTAGTAATACAATATTCTTTGAACTAAACGCACCCTATATGGACGTTTGGATTATATAATGTTTTATTATAGGGGGATATTATATTAACGGAATAAAATATCACCTTGAAAATTACTGAGAATGTTTAGAAAATGTGTTTGGTTGGTTCGAATAAATTAGTAAATAATATATTTGGTTGGAAGGATAAATGAGTGGGTATATTATATAGATTACTAAATTGCCCTTCTTTTTAAATATTAATATAACAATATTTATTATTATTATTTTTTAAATAATTTCTTTTAACCCCTTACTTTTCAAATTTAGTAAAAACACCATAGTAACCAAAAACGTTTTAAACCTAACAAAAACACTCATACCCACCCAAGTCACTGCCGACAGCTAGCCACCACCGTTGGTAGTGCCACAGATCTAGCTGTGATGTCGGTAATGCCATAGATATGGTCGTTTCACGGCCAGATCTATGGTTGTTTCATGGCCAAAGATGTGGCCATGAAATAGCTAAATCTGGCCTTTTCCGACCATGGGTCTGTGATCTATGGTCGAAAAAAGCCTCACCGGCGCAAGACCGTTGTACACCACTATGACAACTTTTGGCAGTCTCCGGTGACAGTCGACGGTTGCTAGCGGTGGTGACTAGTTCTGGGTATAATGACATTTCTATAAATAATGATAATAACAAGGGCAATGTCATCCGAAAAATTTAAAAAGTGAGGACAAAAGTGTCTGTATGAGTGAATTGAGTGTTTTGTAAATGTTAACAAATATAAGGTTAATTTGGACCAAATGCTTAACTGTTTAAGGGTAACATGGGAAACAAAATTGTATTACCAAGGGTGAATTTTAATAATAGCACCCCACACACCCCCCCCCAAGATAGAATTTAGTGTCATCTAACACTAAGAAATGTTTAGATTTGTGATACTGTATGTGTTTTTGACTTAATTACATTAGAAGGTATCGAACTATCATTTTTTTCCTATTGAAGGTACCAAACTATTTTTTTTCCTGTTGAAGGTACTAAATTATCAATTATTCGTATTGAAGGCATCAAACTTGCACACCGTCAAACACTTTAGAGACTGAACTCTAATACCATTAAAAATAAACGACGTGAGTAGTTTTTAATTCTAAAATGTGTATGTGTAAATTTATGAGGGTTGACGTGTACATGTGGCGCTGACGTGGACTTTTTTAGGGTTGATGTGTACATTTTCATATTTTAACTTCTTCAAATGTACCCCTTCCTCCAATTTTAATTCCTCAGAAAACACAAAATGCATCCAAAATAACCTAAACCACCCAGAACGAAAACTTGGCCTGAGTTCAAACTTGCACACCGTCAAACACTTTAGAGATTGAACTCTAATACCATTAAAAATAAATGACGTGAGTACTTTTTAATTCTAAAATGTGCATGTGTAAATTTATGAGGGTTGACGTGTACATGTGGCACTGACGTGGACTTTTTTAGGGTTGATGTGTACATTTTCATATTTTAACTTCTTCAAATGTACCCCTTCCTCCAATTTTAATTCCTCAGAAAGCACAAAATGCATCCAAAATAACCTAAATCACCAGAACGAAAACTTGGCTTGATTAAAAACTCAGCCTAATCGCGTAACCAAACAATTAAGCAACTAAAACAAAATTACAAAAAAGAAAGCAAGCTAATATGATATTATATTTCTTAAAACCCTGAAGATTTATAAAATAATAAAAAAATAATTTTTAGTTTATTAAAATTATAAAATTATGATGTGTCATAGCAAATATAGTTTATTGGAAAAAGGAAATTGTGAAAAGTCCCTAGGTTAAAATTACAAAAAAGAAAGCAAAAAGACCATAATAATACAGAGAGCAGAGACTTTAAAGAGGCAATATAAATAAATAACGGGATGTACCAAAAAAGCAGCGGGATGTAATATAAAAAGCAGTGGGATGTACAATAAAAAGTAGCAGGATGTACCAAAAAATTAGCGAGACCGGGCAAATAAAAAAAGAAAAAGAAGTAGCGGGACTAGGAATTGTTATGTTTTGTTGCATAACTCTTGAACTAAAAAAAAATCAAGGATTGGCAAGAAAAACCACCTATTGTAGTCTTAAAAGCCGAAGAAATCATGTACACTAATATGAAACTAGAGAGCTTTTACCGCCTTGTGTTGAAGCTGCCCTTAATTTGGGTTGCATTCTAGTGAGAGCTTCAAGAAGCCAATGACATAGTAACCCTAGGACTTATCTCAACTTGAGACCACAAGATTCTCCATCCATGCCTCCTAGAATTGTGGATAAATTTGTTGATGAACAATGCCTTAAGTTATTAGCACTTCATTCAGGTAGTTCATTAAACTTTGCAAGATCTTCTGTGAATGTGAATTCAACTTTTCCAGTTTCACAATCAAACTGCCATGTTATTGGAAATGATAACCTAGCAACTTCTGTTTCTCTCCATTTGAAGGTATCTTTGGTTATTGGCTCTTTGTTTCTTTGTTTTTACTTGCATTTGACAGATATCAGTGTTTTCAAGTCAGTATTGTTTGTAGAAATAATGGGTTTATTGTGATGGATTTCCGAGAAGGCATCGCTTTGTTTTATGTGAATGATTGTGGTGATGATTTTGGCTTTTGATCATGTGACATGTTTGTTTTATCGATTGTTTGGTGACTGGTAAGCCATTGATGTTTATTTAGTTCTGCTTTAGTTAGAGTGTTTTTTTTTTTTTTCATATTTTTGGGTAATATTTTTCATATTTTTGCATTCAAAGGATGTGGTACTCTTTGTAACTGATAGCAATGATGATGGATATATGCCTTTACTATGGAAATTTGAGTTTTAGTTAGTGATTTTTTAGATTATAGAATGAGGGGAATATTTGGGGAATTATCACGTGCCTTAGTTCGTTTGACCATTATAAAGCTAGGGGAATATCTGGGGAATTATCCCTAACTTGTGTCTAGCCTGAGATAATATCTGCCCCAGACTTGTTTGGTAGTTAGGGTTTTCAACAAGGAGAGAAAACACATTATTGGTTACTTGAAAGACAATTGAGGATGAAAGTATAGAGTTCAATAGATTGGAAGAGAATGGAGTCTTTTAAGCTCAACATCAAATCATTTTTAAGCGTTTCCAAGCATTTGTATGGTTTACCCAAATCACAAAGTCTTACATAGTTATTAACCGAAGGTCTGCCAGTTCACAAATTAATAGGAAATAAAAACATGGTCTTGGACAACTTTCTTAAGCTCATGATCAAGTAATTTGGTATACCTATTTATCATTGAAGGAAAAGTATGCTTATCAAGTGAAGACTTCAGTTCTGATTTTGGAGTAAAAAATACAGCCCAATGTGGATAAGTTCTCTAATAATTGAGTTCCATTGATTTACATCATTTGTGGATGAAATTTGTTGAAAGACTGAAAAGAACATATGGGGTATTTAAGTAGAATACTTGATTATGAGTTTGCCATAGGTGCAGATTCCCAAACTCCTAATGCAATGATAAATGATTGGACATTGTGTTATTATTAGTGTGATGTAGAGGATAAAGCTTTTTAGATGGAAGAATGGACAACCTCTCGTGAACCTTTAGTGTACACTTTTGGGCCGTGAAAATGCATCAACGTGTAAATATTAGTGATATAATTTTTTTTTTTGGTTTGGCAAGTTATGACTTTCTGTAGTCCTTGGCCAATAGCTTTCATATGGTAGACCTAGTATCTGCCAAAAGTTTCCAACATTTAAATATTTAGATGCATCACCAAATTTGCGTTCAAGATTATAAAATGACTTCTTGTTAGATTACAAACATAAACAAATGCCAATTGATAGTTTCTCATGAACATGTCGTTCAATACTCTACTTGCTTATTTAGTATATGAAAATTGAATTTTCGTGTTTAAATTTATCATGTTTTAATTTCTCATCATTGAAGAATATATGTACAAACTTGAATTGACATGAAATGATCGTGCTTCTTGTGTCATTGCTTGGTTAATTCTTGTGAACATTTTTTTCTCAAGATTTTTGCAAAAATCTTCTATCATTGAAATCACATTCAAAAATCTCTCAGGATTCTGGTGCTACTTTTATCAATACTCATATTTTTATTTTTATTTTTTTGTCTTTAAAGGATGGTGCTTATGTATATGCAAAAGCATCAGCTAAGGGGAAGCGAATGCAGGTAAGTTTTGTAACTTTTATGAGCGACATGTCTGTTATTTTACCTGTGCAATAGTTAATATAAACTAGAATTGACTAGCTTATTGTTTTCTTCAGTGCAATATTGGTTCCAAAAATCATGCAATTGTCATGTCTGATGCAAGTTTGGATGCTACTTTGAATGCCCTAGTTGCTGCTGGGTTTGGTAGTGTAGGACAAAAGTGCATGGCACTCAACATAGTCGTTTTTGTTGGAAGCTTAACTCCATGGTATGTTTATCTTCCTTGTTAACGTGTGTTGTCTTTGTGGTTTTATCCGTCCTCGAAAAATGATGTTTTAAGTTTTGAAAGGAATCAGGTCTACTTTGTGGAGACTCTAAATCAGTGATAATATATCTTTTATCTGAATTCAATGATAGACATGATTTGGCAAGTATAAGAGTTTCTTTATAACCTTTTTGCCAGGGAAGATAAACTAGTGGAATGTGCCAAAGCACTCAAAGTAACTGCAGGAACTAAACCAGATGCAGACCTTGGTCCAGTAATTAGTAAGCAGGTGCATTCATGTTTAAGCATTTTTTCAATAATTAGATATGCCAATTCTCAAAGAGAAGAACCAGAATTTGTGGACCTCTTTTAATTTAAATCACTTTCCTACTTTTATAATTATAGAAAGCAGGTGCATTCATGAAGTTGTTTCTTTTTTTCTTGATCTCTAGAGACTGGGAGGCCATTTTAGTCCTTGATTGGTGTCCTTTGAATGGTTATTTCTTGTATTTTTTGGTTTTTGTAGTAGATTGCTATTTCACTACTTTATAATTCTTAAATAAAATTTGTTTGTTGTTCCCTGTCAGTAATGGAAAAAAAGAAGTAATTTTCCTATGTATATCATTCTAGTCATTGTTTAAGGTTTAACAGTTGCATTTTTGGGTGTATGCAGGTTGCTTTTTTAAATTGCACCTTTTAATCGGTTCTATTCTCACTGATGATACTACGGTGCTATATGGCTATCAAATATTTATAGGTGAAGGAAAGGATGTGCAGATTGATCCAAGCAGATTTTGAAAATGGTGCAAAACTACTGCTTGATGGTAGAAACATATTGGTATCTGGTTCTTTGTTTCTTTAAGCAGTTAGCTTGTCAAACTTTATCTAGTCGAGTTATTTGTTCAAAATTTGTCTACATAAAAGTTAGATTATATGATCTAAAAAACTAAAATTGTCTAATTAATCAGTGAAAGATTTCTGAAAAAACTGATTTAATGTAAACAAATTAAAAAAAAAAAAAAAACTTGAATTTTGATACAACCACCTGCAGATTAAATCAATCCACAACCAACCAACAATAATTCTCACACAAATCAACCAACACACAGTCAACCAAAACCCAAGATAATGCCCAATACACAAGAATGCAATCCCTACAATGTTTGTATTAAACAGATTAACTGAATGAAAATGGAACAAATGAAAAATGGAATAAACTGAACATAAAACCCTGGCGTTTCGAGGAGCCAGGAGCCTCCATTGTTTTATCAACCCAAAATCAAAGCTGCCTGCTACTACATCTCTCCTTGAATATATACGACTTCCCTTTTTCCACAATTATCCTTACTCACACAATTTGTATTCTCAAAACAAAATCCAACCCAATGACACCTGTACTTTGTGGACCCAACTCCCTTAACAACCTTCCTAATGCCTTTTACGCCCCTTAAGGGTGTAGACTTTATGCACTGCCAGCTTATCAATACCCCCCCTTGAAGATTGACCTTGTCCTCAAGGTGAAATTGTGGGAACTGTATTTGAATCACTTCATATGGTTCCCAGGTGGCTTCAAAATCAGGTAAATGCTGCCATTTGATGATGACCTCTTTAGACCCATCTGACAGAGTATGCACAGGAGAACAGTGTCTGGTTGGACCATTAATTCCATATCCTCAGAGAGTGAGTCTGGAAGGGGTTGGATGGGTACCGATTGATGTAAGCTCCTCTTGAGCTAAGAAATATGGAAGACAGGATGAATACGGGTTGTGGGAGGTAGATCCAATTTATAAGCCATTGGTCCTATGTGTTCCAAAACAGGGTAAGGACCATAGAAACGGGGACTGAGCTTTTCATTCATTTTTTGGGCAAGTGATTTAAACCTGTAGGGCTGAAGCTTCAGGAAAACTAAGTCACCAGGCTGGAAACAGTCGTCTCGCCGATGAAGGTCAGCATTGTGTTTCATGCGAGCTTGAGCCGCAACTAAATTGTCCTTAAGCTCCCTTAACATGGCATTACGCTCAGTCATTTGGACATTGATATCTTCCACGGCGGATGGACAGTCTGTGAATTTTAAGAGGGTGGGAGGATCTTGTCCATAGAGGGCCTTGAAAGGCGTCATTCGGATGGACCCGTGGTAGGTTGTATTATACTAGTATTCTGCCCAAGTCAGCCAATTAGGCCACTGTCGGGGCTGAGAACTGCAGAAACAGCGAAGATACGCTTCGAGGTACCTATTGACCACCCCTGTTTGCCCATCGGTCTGCGGATGGTAAGCCAAACTAAATTTCAGAACAGTGCCGACAGCCTTGAACAACTCCTGCCAAAACTGACTCATAAAGAGTTTGTCTCTGTTAGAGACAATGGAATGAGGGAAACCGTGTAGCCGGACCACTTCCTTAACGAATATGGTGGCCACATCCTTTGCATTGTATGGGTGACTGAGACTAAAAAAAATGGCTGTACTTGGTCAGGCGGTCAACGACAACAAAGATGGTATCAACTCCTTTCGAATGTGGTACCCCCCCTGATAAAGTCCATCGATATGTCCTCAAAAACCTGTTTTGGAATGGGGAGAGGTTGGAGGAGTCCAATAGGTTTTAACGACGACTGCTTATTAAGTTGATAGGTGGTGTAGATTTTAATGTAGCTTTGTATATCTCCCCGAATACCCTCCCAATAAACTACAGAAGATACTCTCTTGTATGTTCTGAAGAAACCTGAGTGGCCGCCACTAGGACTCTGATGGAATTCGGTCAGTAATTTGGAAACAAATCTGGACCCTTTTGGAATAACCAGCCTGTTCTTATAGAATAGGCAGCCCCTGCAGATATGATAGTTGGGTTGGTTAGAAGAGTCAAGGAGAAGATCCTGAATGATTTCCCTGAGTTTCGGATCAGTTTTTGCCTCCGTGGCCATCTCCTCAAATTCAGAAAACTGTACCGTAGATAAAGCTGAAAGGTGTGCCACTTCTGTCCTATCTTCTTTTCTTGAAAGAGCATCCGCTACACGGTTGGAAGCCCCTGGATAGTATTGAATGTCAAAGGTGAAACCCATCAGCTTGGAGATCCATTTGTGTTCCTGAGTTTTTGATCTTTGATCCGTTAAAAACTGGAGGCTGCGCTGATCAATCTTGATGATGAATGTTCTGCCCAACAGATAGTGACTCCATTTCCTTACTGCAAAAACAATGGCCATCAATTCACGCTCATAAACCAATTTCAGCTTAGCTGTAGGGGAGAATGCCTTGTTGAGAAATGCTATCGGTCGAGATTGCTGTACCAAAACAGTCCCGAGACCTCTTCCAGATGCGTCTGTCTGAATTTCAAAGGGGCGTGTGAAATCTGGAACTGCTAAAACAGGGACGGTAGTCATGGCTTCCTTGAGCTATCAAAAGCCGTTTGTGCCGAGTCATTCCAAGTGAAGGAATCCTTCTTTAATAACTGAGTAAGGGGCTGTGCGATTGAACCATAACCTTTTACGAATCTCCGGTAATAACCTGTCAGCCCAAGGAAACCTCTCAATCCCTTCACATTCACAGGTCACAACCAGGATACCATAGCCTCAATCTTTTTCGGATCTACCTCAACTCCGTGTTCCGAAACCAGGTGACCCAAATATTCTAGCTTAGATTGGCCAAAGGAGCACTTTTTCTTGCTAACAACTAGTTTGTGTTCCTGCAAAATCTGAAAGGTTAGTTGTAAGTGCTGAATGTGTGGTTATGCAGGGGTTATACACAAGGATATCATCAAAGAAGACCAGGATGAATTTACAGAGAACTAGCCTAAATACTGAGTTCATTAAGGCTTGAAATGTGGAGGGCACATTAGTGAGACCGAAAGGCATCACAAGGAACTCGTAATGCCCCTCATGTATGCGAAAGGCTGTTTTGGGAACATCAACCTCTCGCACCCTAATTTGATGATACCCTGACTTAAGGTCCAGTTTTGTGAACATTGTTGCCCCGGCTAATTCATCAAGTAATTCTTCAATGGTTGGTATTGAGAATTTATCGGGTATAGTAATGTCGTTTAATGCCCGGTAATCTACACAAAATCGCCAACTTCCATCCTTCTTTTTGACTAATAGAACAGGGCTAGCGTATGGGCTAACGGTAGGCTGGATAATCCCTACAGACAACATTTCCCCAACCAGCCTCTCGATTTCATTCTTCTGAAAATACGGGTATTTGTAGGGTCGGATATTGGGTGGTTTGGAACCTGGTTGAAGTTCTATGGCATGGTCATGGGTCTTACAAGGTGGTAATTTAGGATTCTGGTCAAACAGTTGAGGGTACCTCTCTATCAACTCTAAAATTCCAGGGTCAGTTTCCTCCTGTATTGGCTCTTCTTTCAACCCTATGGATCCAAATTCCACCACATACCCATTTCCCGCAGCCTGTAAATTCCTAACCATAGTTTTCAGTGATATCTTCGTCTTGACCAGTAGGGGATCCCCTCTCAGTTTCACCCTCTTCCCTTCCCAGTCAAATTCCATAGTTAATCTCTGCCAATTAGTGCTCACATCCCCCAAACTACTCAGCCATTTAACCCCTAACACAACGTCTGCACCTCCTAATTCGAATGGGAAAAATTCCTACTGTATCTCAATTCCCTGGAGTTTCAACCTCACTGCCTTACAAATCCTTTTTCCCCGAATGGTGCATCCATCCCCAACCATTACTCCAAAAGGCCTTCCCTCATCCACCTTCAGCCCTAGCTTTTGTACAACTTGTTAGTGTATATTAGTGTATGCCCTAGAAAACATTCGTGTTGTCGGTTTCAGAGCATTTTGTCTTGTATCTATATATATCATAAATAATAGAAGAAAGAGTTCTTCAATTCATATATGTAAATTGCTTCCTTTATTCAGTCATGCATTTAAAATAAAGTATGTATATGAATTGTCCAGATGATTCATTTAATAGGTAAATGAATTATCGAAAAGGGTTCCCTACGGAAGCAATATAAATTTGGGCAACTATATTGTACAGTAGGCATACCGGATGCTTCCGAAAGATATCATGAGTTGATATAAGTACGGATGACGATGATAGTCATGTCACTGGGGCATTGGTATGGATTAACGGTTGGTGAACTGTTTTTCGAACGTGACCGAATAACGACAAATCACTTGGAAAAGCATGTAGTCAATGATTTATCGTTTGGTTATATCAGTGCACGATGTAGTCCTTTGACCTGAGACATTGTAGTCGGATCCGATATGGATGCGTATGGTTCATACGGTGTATAAGTACGAGACTAATCATGTTTCGTACAATAAAGCCTATTTGGTCATGCGTTGTTCATATGCGGAAACGAACGATGGTCAAGAGGGGATCCATTGACTCGGAAATATAGGATCGGGAGTACCGCTGACTCCATCCGGATTCGAGTTCCTAGACGAACATCGATAAATGTCGGAAAACTGAATCTCTGGCCAGAGTCTATTATTAGTCATACAAAAGTAAGTTTGTGATGACAAGTTCCGGACATATTGATCGACAATTCGGTAGAAGATCGAGTTTAGGATTTTGACGTTCCATGAATCCATACTCGATTAGGATATCTCAATGGAGGGACTTTACCTGCATGGTACGTATGATCTGAAATGGGTTCGATGAAGTATTTCTTCATCGTGGTTTAGGGACTATGGCACATTGCTAGATGTTTACCATAGTCGTTGGGCCTCCGGACGGGTTTCCGGATTCATCCAGAACCGGCTCACGGCTAATCCACGGTGGACCTACATGGTCACACCAATAGCCTTGAGAAGTTAGAGAATGATGAGAGAGAGAAATGATTATCCGAAGAGGGCTAGCACCTTCCGAGGGTAATAACGGGATTTCTATAGTAATAGTTACATAGAAAACAATTTGTGACATTTTAAGGGTTAAAATGGTCAAGCAATAATTAATTATATTTAATTATTATATCTTAAAGTGTTAAGATTAATGAGATGAACAAAAATAACCTTTTAATAGTTAAAGGGTAAAAAGGGGTAAATTTTTGGGTTGTTAATGTAAACTAGTTTAGTTTACATGGGCCCTTGAATAATATTGATTATTCAAAGGGTAGCATATTAAATTCGTGGGGTCCCTTTATAAAATAAGATTTTATTGGGCTTTGAAGTGAAAAATAAATAATTGCAAAATTGCCCAAGTATATATAAATGCAAAATGTTGCATTTTTGTTCATAACACACATTGTTCACTCAAAGCAAAACCAAAACTCTCTCTAAAAGCCACGACCACTCTCTAAACCTCTCAAGGTGGTGTTAAAGTATAGAGGTTTCATCCTTTTGAAGCTAATCTTCATCAATCCAAAGCAAAGGAGTAGGTATAATCTCATATCCAAGCTTTGCATGTAAACCGTTTTTTTTTAATCCATGCTTTCATGCTTTCATTCTCCATCTCCACCACTCTTCATGCATGCTGGATCTTTCACAACCTCATGGGAAACAAAATTATGGGAGGCCCCACTATCCACCAAAACCACCACACTTTCATTCACAATCTCCCCTTGTAATTTCAAGGTTTTTCCCATTGAAAAACCCATAATGGAGTTCATCGAGAGGGCTAGAGATTTACCTTCACCGATGGCTTCTTTATCAGTTTCTGGTTCCACTTCCGGTGGGCTTGTGTCTTCGTCATCCAGGAGTAACAACACTTGCAAAGTCCTGTTTTTACACCGGTGGTTTGGCCCATATTTCTCGTCGCAGCGGTAACAGAGCCC